CMAAAAAAAAWTATTAAAATTGAAAATGTTATTTTTGCCTCATGAGATAGAAATTAAATTTCTTGACCTGAAGCTGGTGAAGTCTGCTTTTCCTGCTGAAAGAACTCTGGTTTGGTGCAGTTAAGGCACAACAGGGTCATGTGAGAGGAAACTTCATGGGTCATTTCACCTCCTAAAAAGCTCTGTCACAAGAGACTGCTGTCAGAGGAGAAATATTCCTAATTATTTATTAATTGCTTGGCYGATTCCAGACCTGGATGCTCCAAGAAACCTGAAGCGGGTGTCCCAGACTGACAACAGCATCACCCTGGAGTGGAAGAACAGCCACGCCAATGTCGATAATTACCGAATTAAGTTTGCCCCCATCTCTGGTGGGGACCACGTGGAGACCACAGTGCCCAAGGGCAGCCAGGCCACAACCAGAGCTACACTCACAGGTAGGGCAATGGGGACATTGTCACTRCTGTCCTGTGTCACCCCAGGGCATGGGACATGGTGGAAAAAGGGTCCTTTTGGTCACTAAACATCAAAGGAAAGAGCAGAGATTACACTTTTTACATCGGATATTGGGAAGGAATTGTTCCCTGGGAGGRTGGGGTGCCCAGAGAAGCTGTRGCTGCCCCTGGATCCCTGGAACATTATATGGACAGAAACTCATCTTTCTTCTCCTCATCTCTCAGGTTTGAGGCCTGGGACTGAGTATGGCATTGGAGTGACAGCAGTGAGGAACGACAGGGAAAGTGCTCCTGCCACCATCAACGCTGGCACTGGTGAGTGTCCTGATCCCATCCGGGCTCTGGAGGAGKCAGCAGCTCAGCTGGAGCCACTCTTTCATTCCTGTGTGATGATGGAAGAAATATTTCAGAAAATTCTTCGTTTCATTTTGCTACCAATGGGACATTTCCCCTCAAGAAAAAGAAAAAAAAATCCCTGAGGTCTTGACCTCTGAATCTGACTTATTTTTTTCTGTTTCTTTTGATGCTCTGGGAGTTTCACCTCCAGGTGAGCTCCTTAATGATAATCACACTGACCACTCTGGCCATCTTTGTCTGTGAGGAATCCTGGCAGAAGTGGTTAGTGGTGGTCAAAAGCTGGATGTGACTAAGAGTGGTTGCAGTGCTCCGCAGTGACCCTCAAACCCCAAATTTTCACCCAATGTCCTCCTTTTCCCATTAAATTATATGAAGGCTTTACTTCTGCCTCTCAACTGTAAGTGGGGGAAATTTGTTCTGGTTTTGTCTGTAAAGGAGAGTATCATCATCATCATCATCATCATCATCATCATCATCATCATCGTCATCGTCATCGTCGTCATCATCATCCCATTTCAAAAGGTCCCAAAGGTGGACAAGATCCTGAGGTGCTGCCAGGCCCCCAGTGGAGATGTGACTCTACAGATCCTGAAAACCCATCCCAGGGCAGTTCAGAGAATCCTCAACACCTCTTTTTTTTCACCCTGCAGATCTCGATAACCCCAAGGACCTGGAAGTCAGCGACCCCACAGAAACCACCTTGTCCCTGCGCTGGAGAAGGCCGGTGGCCAAGTTTGACCGCTACCGCCTGGTGTACTCGGCTCCCTCGGGGAAGAAGGGCGAGGTGGAGATCCCGGTGGACAGCACCTCGTTCCTGCTGCGGGGGCTGGACGCRGGCACCGAGTACTCCATCAGCCTGCAGGCGGAGAAAGGCCGGCACAAGAGCAAACCCACCACTGTCAAGGGCTCCACGGGTGAGTGGCAGCCTCTGCTGAGCCACCAGGGCAAGGATAAATTAATCTGATTTTTTAATGCATACCTGCAGGGCAGACTCAGCCCTGCCAGCTGTATTTCCCTGTATTTTCCTTCCTGCTGTGTTCATCTCCATGTTCCCAACGATTCTCTGCTCATCCTTTGAGAGGCCTCACAAAGAACTCAGCCATTGGTCCTGCATGGGTGTAGAACTCATCCTTTGTCTCAAACAAGGCTGGGTATTTTTGTGCATCTAACACTTCTAACGTGTTTTGCTTTCTACAGCCAAAAAATCCAGAAGAAAAGCGACCAGAATGTGTTTAACATTGTTTATTCCTGCCTAATGAATTCTCTTCACAGCAGGCCATCATCCCTCAGCGGCCTCACTGGGGCTCTGGGGGTGCCCTATTTCAGTTTTCTCATCCAAAAATGGGAAAGGCCCCTGCCCCAACCTGGTTCCAGCCACCATTTCCACTCGATGTTGTGACTTACATTTATCTATTTCTGCCATCTCCATTTGTGCAAACCACTGACCAGAATCAGAAGACTTATTGAACAGGGTTTCATTATTTGTGAAATATTTTGACCTGAGGTTTGTAGTGCATAGAATTATATCTATGTTCAATATAGATAGATACAGATATATCTTTATATATATATAGATAGATATCTATAGATATGGCTATATATAGATATATCTCTATATATAAATATATCTATACTCAGTATAGAACACAAGTAAGTCTTGAATCTTTATGTTCCTTCAGGCTAAATTCTGTGAGGCAAAGCTTGAACTGCTCTAAGTGAACATGGGCAGTGAAATCAGGATTAGCTGGACTCTGCCATCCATAAAATAGAATTATTATTTTTAGCAGATATCAAAGTGTTTATCATTTTCTCTCCAAAGAACATCTGACAGACATTGTGGGTTTTACAAATTAATAATTGCACAGCTTAAATGATCCAAGCTGGGTTCATATTCCTTGGTAAAGTCCATGCCAGCACCACCTGTGAATGCTTCACAGACACAGCAACCCAGGACAGCAGAGATTTACATGGTCTGGAAATCATCAGTCCTGAATGAGTTGTTTGATGCCTAAGCCAGGCCTTAGTGTCCAGTGCAGGGAAAAATTAGGGAGYCTTGAGGCACATACAGAAAAAAGGAAGCTGAATGTTTATGTGGCAGGAGTGAGCAGGTTCAATTTTCTCAGCTTTCTCTGTTGGAGGACTGAGAGTTTTTAAAGGAAGCCTACAGAGATGGTGGAAACTCAGGAACAGTGTGCTGTGGAATCTCACAGCCTGCTCTTTCCACAAGCTTCACAAGGTTCTTCAAGGCTTCTCTTTCCTGGTTTGCCTTTTATTTTTTTTTTCTTTCAAAACCCCTTCATCTGGCCCGCTGCATTTGTTTTATGTCTTTACTCAGAGCAGCAGTAAACAGAGAGGGCTCTGCAGCGAGCTCCTGGCAGCAGCAGTTGACATAACCTGGCTCTGTGACCTTTCTCCTGCGGAGGAATGGACAAATCCAAACACAGAGCAGGGGAGCAGGAATTCTCTGGAAGCCTGGGCGGAATGAGCCAAGTGGGCTCTTCAGTCTGCTTTTCCATCTACCCTCGAGACACTCCTCTTCATCCATCTTTCCAGCACTTGGGAGGTCCCAAATGCTCAGAACAAGCCAAACAAATTTGTTTYGTCCTCTCTGGGGGAACTTGGGTCCATTGCACCACTGGGAAAGTCGTTGGAGCAGGCAGGGAGAGAGAGGGGTGATGGAAGTGGGAAATGTCAGCAGCACAGCCAGGACTGGCCTGGCTCTTCCTGGTGGCCRAGGGGACACTCCTGATCTTCAGAGGGTCTGTGCCATCCCTGCTGATCAGACAGAGACTGCACAGGGGCTGAGTTTTCTCTCCAGCTTCCTTTGCTCATGCACATTGCCAGTTTTTCATCTCACATTTCCCCATCCTCTCAGCAGTTCAGTCAGGCCAGCAGGTTCTCAGCAGTTTCCCACACATCATTTTTATTTGCTTGCTCAGTGGATTTTACARCGCTGAGGGTAAAGCTGCTGTCAGCTCCAAAGCTGGAAATCTTCTGCCAGAGCCTTTTCTCCCCTCTCACACTCTMCCTACCCTCTGGTTATGGCTATCAACTGTCCCTGATGTGAAAAGTTCATGAGCCTCTAGCAAAGGACATTTCACRAAATCATCCACAGTACAGGTTGGCAGCCACTGTGGCTTCTGTCTCTTTGCAGGGATGAAGTGCAGCTCAAGTGACAAAGCCTTTTCTTACTGATACCCCTGCTCCTGCACTCAAGGGATGGCAAAGATCACAGAGTGAAGTTTGATAAATGCCATTTGGTTTTACTGGAAAGGAAAGRTGGAATATTTCACATTTCCATTTGCTTATCTCTTGTAGCTCTGTAGTGTAAGTCTGATGCAGACACTGAGTCCTGACCCAGAGGAGCTTCCTGGCTCTGGGAGTTTTCCTTCCCCAGAGGCTTCAGAGATGCAGGAGGATGCACTGAGGACAGCTTTAGGGTCTCATGGTGTGTGAATACAGGAGGCTGCAGCAGTTTTGTGCTGGAGCATGTGGAAATGTCTCTGCAGGGCCCTTCCTGCCCAGAGAACCCCTGGGTGCTGGGACTGACGGCTTCCAAGCCAACACCTCCGATCAAATCCCCAAAAAAGGGTGTTTGGATTGTCTGGAGAGCAGCACTCTGCTCCTCAAGACACTGTGGCTCCAACAGGAAACTCCTTTCTGTTGTTACTGAAGGCACCCCAAGGGTCCCACCCATTGCACTGAGGTTTGATCAGAAATTACAAAAAATGAGCATTTCACTCATTTGGAAGGATCCTGCCTTGAGCACACCCCACAGCTCAGCAGCTCATCTGCAGGGTGAGCACATAACCCACCCTGAAGGGCTCAGCACTCAGACTGCAGCTTTGTTCCCTCCTGCTCTGGCTCTGGAGCCCTGCCTGCAGAGCACAACGTGGGGCTGGAGCAGGGCAATGCATCAGGGCTGAGAGATAAATGACACAGCATTCGAGAAACCAAGAGCCAAACTCAAATTCCTCTGCTGAAGGACCCAGATTGTGCAGCAACTGTTGATGGATCGTGGATGTGATGCTGTCCTGCCTCTGGAAGTGAATTCGTACAGCAAATGGCTTGGAGGAGCAGCTTTTCCATTCTGCTGGATGTTTTGAAGGAGATTGATGCTGTTTACCACAGGCCCTTGTCCATGTTGTGCGTCAGGGCCTCTTCCTCTCCTGGCTTCTCCAAGGYTCTGATTGCGCCACCCTTTTTTATACAAACTCAAGGAGACATCAGGAAGAATAATTGGGTGAGCCAGTTCCATGGGAAAGGTCTGTGCTGACCACTGGGAAATTGCATTTTCCAGGGAAAACTCTCAATTTCTTTAGCTGACTCCTCCTCTGAGAGCATCTGAGGATCTGAGCAACTCTCCTCTGAGAGTTCAAAATGAGGGTTTTTAGTGGTGGCCACTCCAGTATTTCTGATTTGTGATGTGCTGCTGTAATTTCTCTATGGAATTCCAAGAGGAACAGAGGAGAACTCCTCTGTTTGCTTYGGTTTCAGAGCTCCTCAGTGCCCAGCACACAAAGTGTGTCAGAGCAGCTGGTAGCTGTTATTTGGGGGATGTTATCAGGACATTTTAATTTGTCATTTACCTCTGTTTAGCACCTCTGGTCATTACACCTGGAAAATCAATGAGTGAATCACCAACTGACCCTCCCAGCCCTGCTCCTCCCCAGCTCAGTGATTTAATATCCCCCAGCCCCAAGGTTCCTGCTCTGCTTTCCTCTCACCTGCCCAGCTCAGAAGTCACTGGGGCTCTCCATGACCTCAACACAACCCCAACATTTCCAGTGGCTTCACCCTGTCCTGGGCAGCGCAGGGTGAGGTCTTTGATCAGCTCCTTCTCACTCTGAAAGACCTGTCCAGWTTAAACAGAACACAGAAAGGTTTTTTTTTGCTGGGAAACCTCGGAGAAGCAACCATTCCCAATCTCCCAGCTGGCACACAATTTCAGATAAACCTCCATGGAAACACTCAAGGCCAGCTTTCTTGGTCCCTGGAWGCTCTAGCTCCTACAGGTATTTCCCATGGATTCATAGCCGTGTGATCCTTTTCTCCTTTGAAATACAAGACTTAATTTTCATATGGCTTTGGTGATTTTAGGCTTTGTGAGTGATGCTTTTCCTCTTGCTTGGTTAATTCTTCCTTTTGCATGGGATAAAACTCATGGAATGAAAACCTTCTCTCATTCCATGCATGGACAATGCCCCATGCAGCTTTTGAGGTGATTCAGCATCAAATCTCCCTTTTAAATCTCGCACAAAGGGAGATGTTGATGCATCTGCTGTGGATAAGGAATGTGGGAASAGCAGGATGCTGCAGGTGCTTGGCTGGATTGGGGCTCAAACATGAGAAAGATTGTGAGGAATTTGCAGTATTGGTGTGGAAGTCATGATGTCAGAGGAAAAAAAAAAAAAAGATTGTGGCACAGTGGGAGTTCACCTTTGTGAAAATTCCCACTTCAGCTCTATGAATTTTGTGAGGTAGCAGGGCTGAATTCAATAATGACCAAAGTACCAGGATGGGAGTTCAGATCTGGAGATGAAAGATTGCACCAGTCCATCCTTGGAAACAAAATTCCCAACATGAGGCAAAATATTTACATAGAAATACCCAGAGTATTTCACTGAGCTTCATCTCTCAATGGATTATTCTCTCTTATTATTAAAATAAGAAGCATCATCCCTTGATCTTTATCATGACATTGGGGTTGCTTTGTCACCTCTATTGGATGCTGGATGGTTGAGGTTTTTGGAGGTTCTGTTTGGGGCATGATTCTGTAGGATAATCCTGCGATCCCTGGTGAGCGTGATGGGGTTGTTTGTTTTACTGTCCCAGATGTGCACGAGAAATAAATGGCAGCAARAGGGGGCTCTGCATCCTGGAGAACRAAYCTGAGCATTTCCAGAGAAATCTGAACTGCTTTTAACCTGTGATGGTTCCTGCATTTCTTGTTATAACCAAACTTCTACTGCAAAGATTTCACCTCACTGTAACTTCAGATTCATTTTATTTTAAGGAAATGTGTTTGTTTTATTTGTTTCTGTTGCCACTGACAGATCATGAGTTCTGATACAGCCAGTTCCCTTTCTGTCCTGCTTTCTCTTTTCCAGATAACAGTGTTATTTTGGCAGCATTCATCTTTGACCTCAATGAATCTCCTTTCTGTTCCTGATAAGGGAAGACAGCTCCACATTAAGGATTTTTTGTTGTTGTTGAACGTCATTGTTATTTCCTAAACAATCTCTTTCCTTCTAGCAGGACAGGAAGAGCTCATCAAAACTTTTGTGTTCCCCAGCAGTAGCAATTTACTGTGTTTTTAAAGAATTTTACTGAAGATCATTATGATCTATGAGTGTTCAGCCTCTGAGAATTCAGCCCCAGCTGCCTGTCTAAGGCTTTGAGCAGCCCTACAAGAATCACTTGGGTTTTACAGGGAGAAATTTTATAGGATACTGCTGAGCCTAATTTTCATTTATCCCTTTAACTTCTGTAYTAAAACACGCATAAATTTGAAGTTTAAAATTGACAAATCAGACCCGTTTACCTTCATGCAGCGCCCCTGAAGAATCCTCAGCCATGCAGAATGGGATTATTCAGAGAGACTCTGTTCTCACTGTTGCATTTACGTGTCAGCAATTCAAATAAATCAGAAGGGTGCTAGAAAATCATCCGAGGCCACAGGTCAGGGAGARATCACACAGGGTTTTCCAGGCACAAAAATCAGGCAGTACTCTGTCATTTTCCCATGTAACTGTTAAGGAATCAGTTGTAGCTCGTTTGGAACAAAGAACTTTCTGTTCTTGCTGAGCAAATGACCTCAACTTTCAGATTTTTACCCCTAATAGCTCCCAACTTCTTTGGCCACCCCTGTGGTGGCTTAGAGGAATATTCATTTCTGTGAATKAACATTTTGATTTTAGATTAATWTCAGAWTYTAGACTGAAAGTYCAAGCTTCTCTGCACACAGGAAGGYTTTGTGGACAGAATAARGTGCTAAAGGAAGGCAAATCCATTATCCATGCAGATATGGAGGCATTTTCCTTTTCTTTGTTGTTCAGTATTAGAAATAGTTGGGAAGAATCAGCAGCATCCTTTATGTGGATGCAATTAAAAGCACAAATATCTGAATCCAAACTGCTCCAAATTGTGCCTTCCTACTCTTAAAACACAGTTCCTTCAGAATGGCAAACACTGAGTAAAATCAAGTGGTTGTAGTAATAATTCCTTGCCTCCTAGGGAGTTGTAATTAATGTTGGTGAAACACTTGCAGCTGTAGAATGGTCTGTGAGCTGCTCTCAGTAAGCAGTCTCTGTGTATTTATTTATTATTACAGTATTATTATTTATCATTATTTATTATCACAGTCCTTTACTTGCTGCTCTGAGTTTTGCTCTCACTGCAGCTGTTTTGCCATGTTTCCAAAGAGATTTTCTTGTAGTTGTCTGTGGCAGCTGATGATATAAATTAAATATATAGACATAAATTAAATATACAAATATAAATTTGGGGGGGAGCATCTCTGTGGCCCTGAGCACACCTGAAATTCATTAAAACAGAACCTCATTAAATAATCCGACATCAGCAGCGCTCTGCAACCCGAGTAACGCATTGACTCTCTGTCCTTCTCCAGAGGAGGAAGCTGAGCTGGGGGAATTGRCAGTATCAAAGCCTGGCTGGGATGGTTTCCAGCTCACCTGGACAGCAGCCGGCGGGCCCTATGAGCGCTTTATCCTCCAGGTGCAGGAGCGCGGCAATCCCGAAGGAACCCGCAATGTCACGGTGCCGGGGGGACTGAGCTCTGTCAATGTCACCGGCCTCAAGGCCAACACTCCCTATAACATCACCCTTCAGGGGGTCATTCGGGGCTCCAGGACCAAGCCCCTTTCTGTTGAGACCACCACAGGTACCTTTCCTCCAGCCCCGTGGCCCCGTTTTTTTTCCCCACAGGGATGTGAGCCAGAGCCRTTCTGAGTGCGGGGCAAACTCTGCTCAGTCCTGAGCTCAGGAAAGCCTGGCTGAGATCTCTGCCATGGAAATGCCTCAGGGTCAGTGCCCTGCTGTAGCACTTCCCTCTTTTAGGAATGCTTTTCCCTCCCATCTCAGAACAGATTTTTTTGTTCCCTTTTCTCACTCACCCGGCTGCCACTAACAGCAAAACCCAGCTGGCTGTTGTACCTGCTTGGGAAGGGCCAGCTTGCCTGGGAAAATTTTAAAAATCCTTTCTCTATAGCCCAGATACTCAAAGCCTGAGAGTGGCTTCAGTTTAAACCCTGAAGAAGCTGCCTCTGAAATTCTACAGTGGCTTCTGTGTGAGTTCAGACTCAGAGGGGTAAAGTCGTGAGTATCTGACTCGGGGCAAGGACAAACACCTTCTGTGTGTTCTCATGTAGAAAAGAACACAAATTCATTCCTGCCAAGAGTAATAGCAAATTTTAAGCCATCTCGGATCATTAAACAGTCTAACTAGTCTGAAAAAAAAATATGATGCAAAAAAGATCAAATTTAGCAGAATTACCCTGGCCTGAACAGAGGAAGGTGAGCTCTGCATTATCAGGAGGTTGCATGAAGAGCCCCAAAATTTTTTTTCTGACTAATCAAGTGAAAGGCAGCAGTTTTAAATGAGAGCTTATCACAAGCTGTGGCCATGAGAGATAAATCTACATTTCCATCTCTGCTGTGTGGCTCTCTGATCCTCGCAGGTGTTGCRATCCCTGGCAATGAACAGAGCGTGAATTAATTGGCACTAAAGGGGCACTGGTGGCCTTTCCTTCAGATAATTCCTTGCACACAATTTCTGCTGCCTCTAAGCTTCCCTACAGCCCTCTGCAACCTCCTGTCTCTGCGAGATAGCCAGGGCTGGCTYCTACCAGGGTCCCCCAAGCACATATTACCCAGCTCAGGAGGGGATAAAGCACCTGGAAGAACTAATCACAATTAAACCATGAAGTTCAGTAGAGCTTGCTCATTTCTGTAATGCTTTAATCAGCCTGGCTTGGGCAGGAACGTGCTGTGCTGTGTCCCAGGAAAAGTCCTGAGCTTTGGGAGTCTCCTCGCTGGGAGCTGGGAGCAGATGCCTGTGGAAAACAGAGCTATGTGCTGGACAGAGGAGAGAAACCAGGAAACACATCTTGGGTGTCCTGCCTAAGTGTGCAATGTGCTCCCTTCCTCTGGCCCTCATGAAAACAGCAGAAAATGCCCTGCTGAGGTTTCACTTCCCTTCCAGGGTCAGGCTTCGTGCCTGGCTACTCAAAATCCTCCCATCTGGGGGCTTCCAATTGTCAGAAATCTCTGAACCTTCCTGTAACACTCCAGGGATGTCTGCRGAGAGGAAGAAACCCCAAGGCATCTCTCCCTGTTTTGCATTTTGGCTCCAGCTCCAAAATTACCAGTCAGCTTTCACAGGCTTAAGCTGTAAGGGAAAGTAGAAGAGTAAACAAAACACAAGATTTTCCTTTGGATAAAGCAACAGCTCTGGTTTTAGCTTCWCCTAAAACTGGAAGCTGACTATTCCAAATGCCCCAGGGGCATTCAAGAAAGTTGTTTTGCATCTGCTTTCATGCTCAGACCTCAAAGACATGGCTGCTCCAGCAGAGAAAGGGAAATAGCCATAACTTTAATGCTTTTAAAAAAAAATTAGTTTATTTAACATTTTGTGATGCTTTAATTTAATTTCTTCCCCTTACTACTTTAGCAAGCTTTTACTCACACCCTCTTCTGCAGCTCGGAGCGCTGCCAGCATGGCAGAGAGGAGCCTTTGAGAGCAGGAGGAGCGCAGGGGGGCCCTTCTGACCGCTGTCGTTTCCCTCCCCAGGAGAGCAGCCCGCAGTCGCCGAGTTAACGGTTTCCGACATTACCCCCGAAAGCTTCAACCTGTCCTGGACGGCCTCCAACGGCGACTTCGACGCCTTTACCATTGAAATTATTGATTCTAACAGGTTGCTGGAGCCCATGGAGTTCAACGTGTCGGGCAGCTCCAGGAGCGCTCACATCTCAGGGCTTTCTCCCAGCACTGATTTCATTGTCTACCTCTCCGGGAGCTCGGGCGGGTTCCGCACGCGGGCGGTCAGTGCTGCGGCCACCACAGGTACACCAAACCCGCCTCAGGGCTAACTCTSCTTGTTTTAACTCTTCCTTGCAGGTTCTGCCCCTTTCCCTGCCCTCACATTCCCTAATCCTCTCCACCTTCCAAGGAAGAACCAGCCAGGGACACAGTGAGCTGTGAATAAAGCGCCATCCCACCCAGCAAAGCCAAGCAATCACATCGTGCTGGGGTTTTGTTCACGCAATAAATTCAGACATTAAGGCTGGGGCAACCTCTGAGGCAGATGAGAAGCAGAGGAAGTTTCCCAAGGACCAGCAGGGAGATGATTCCTTTTGTTCACCTTCCAACCTGTGTTTGCATCTGTCCCCCAGCACAGAGCAGGCACAATTTCTGTCAGATGAGCTGATATCTGGACACAGATTTATCCTGATTCTCCCATAAGATGTCAGGCCTGTTTCAGAATGTGCCAGCCCAATCCTTCAAGGCACATTCATTGCTTGAACTCGGCTTCAGCATTCAGATTATGTTGGGTGAGAGATTGAAACAGTCCATTTGAGTCAATGTCAGAGAGTTGTTGGCACGTTGCACGTCTCAAGGTTTTACAGCTGACAGTTCTTACAGAAAAGACAGGGAAATCAAATGTTCAGGGTGAGAGTGGAAGGTGAGGAYTGGACTGCAGAAACAGAACATTGTTATTGTAGGCAGATAATGGCTCGTGTTGTGATCGTTTAATGCCTTCACCAGATTTTGCCCCTCTAGGAGAAGTTGCCATAGTGATTTGTCACAGGAATGGAGTCATGTGGTCAGTGAAAGAGAAATATCAAATCTCAGCAATCAGATAATATAATTTCCATTTCCAGCAGCAGCAGGCTGTGAATATCCTCATTTAATGATGGGTGGCAGAGTCAGGGTTACTGCAGGGGTGATGGTATGGAAAACATAAGGAAACACAAGGCTGGGTGACCTCTGTGACCCGTGACCCTGCGAATTCAAGCTTCCTTATTGATTTATTTTATTGCTTTGGCTTTTAATAACTGTGATACATTTCCATTTGTTTTTCTTCCCGTAGTAGAGGAACCTCTCCTTAGCAACCTCAGTGTCTCAAACGCTACCTCAGCCAGCCTGTCGCTCACCTGGGAGGCGCAGGACAAGGCCTTTGACCATTTTATCCTGGAAGTCAGGAACTCTGACTTCCCCTTGGACTCCCTGGTGCTCACGGTGCCGGGGGACTCTCGGCACCACGTAGTGACCGACCTCAAAGCTGCCACTAATTACACAGCCCAGCTCCATGGGGTAATTGATGGGCAAGGTGGGCAGACCTTGACAGCCATGGCAACCACAGGTATTTCGCCGTTTCACCTCCCAGGTTTTGCTTTTTTTATTCTCCTTGCTCTTGCTATCCACCGAACTGCTCTGAAAAGTGGTTCCAACTCATCATCGTTCCTTTGAGGAGTWAGAGGGAGATCACCGTGAGGGGAAATGCCCTGAAAAAGAGAGTTTTGAGGCAATGGAAAAGGCTGAAAAAGTGCCCCCAGCATTAAGGGAGCCAGAAGAAAACCATGATTGGTTTCTTTATATATACACCCCTCTCTCAGGTTCAGTGTATATATAATTGTCTTGCTCTTGTTGATGTTTTTCACTCATCATCTTTGCATCTAGTCTTGAATGTAGTCATTCATCCCTCCCTCACTTGCTGTGCTGGGGATGGGAGGCCTCCGTGTCTCTCTCAGCCTGGAGAGGCCCCTGCATGTCGGTTTTGTCCTCCCAAAATCCAAATTTCTCCCAAGGCATTTGCACCTCCAGTGGGAGTCTCGTGCCGCATGTGGAATGACCAGCCCCAAGTGCATGGAGTGGTCTGGCCACCTTCTGCTGGCTCTGATGTTCTTCTCTGCCCAAGATTTTCATGTTCCCAGCACAGAGCAGGGCTCAAAAAGCAAATCCCCCCTTTCTTGGTGCTTAGCCCACCACTCTGCCCCTTGCACTGCCCTCTTTGATTCTCCACCACCTGCCATGTTCCCCTGGGTGTCAGAGCTTTGCCCSTGGTGATGGTGATTCCAGGATGGCTGGAGATCACTGAAACTTGCCTGAGGACATGATGCCAGCTCACTTTGCATGTGGCATTCCCAGGGCCAGGCTGTCATGGTGGGAATGTGCCTGCCCATGGATACAGGTGGCATGTGAAGGAATGTGGCCATGCCAGGATGAGGTTGGAAAAGCTCCCTYTGCCCTCCCTGAGCTGCATGTAGGGCTGAGGGCTCCGTTTTGCTGGGTTTTTCACCCAAACCTGTTTGCTTTGTGGGTATTTTCTCATCTCCTTGCCTGATTCAGGAGCACCACGGTGCCACCTTCCCTGTCGGCCACAAAGGTCACCRATTGATAGCATGACATGTGTGACATCTGTGTCCTTAATCGGGGCCACTTCCATTCACCTCTTCCCAGRCAACCCCAGAGAAGGAGGTGGATTATCATTTGAAATTCTTGCAATGAGGGACAAGAGTAAAAGTTGGAACATCTTGTGGCAGTTCTTGTTTCAGCAAAGATGAAGATTTCACTCCTCACCGCTCTCTCTGTTGGTGGGGTGCCTCTCTCTCACTTTTCCCCCAGCATGAATCGCTTCCCCATCATTATTTTTCTGTCTCTCAGTGGCTGCATTTCCCAAGGTGTTCTTGGTTCTTACTCGATTGGCAACATGAAAAATAGAAAATCAGCCCAGAGAGCGAACACAGGATTCTCTGACCCTCGAACTGTTCTCTCTCTGGGTTTTAATGAATCTTTAATGAATTTTGTGCAAAACGGGACAGGTTTGAAAGAGAATGGGTAAGGAGCTCTCCCTCTCCTGAAGGATGAGCTTCTCTCCTGGCGGGGCAGAGATGTGAATTTGAATTTCCTCCTGCAGAAAAGTCTTTGTTTCTTAAGGAAGTGCCCTGGCCACTGAACAGTCAGAGAGGAGAGCAAGAGCAACGCTGTGGGATTTATTGTTAATTAGATATTCTCTGATTGTGGCTAATCAGAGGATGAGGAACACCTTCTCTGGGGAGTCCAGGGAGGTTTTGGCCTGAGATTAGTGCTGAGATAATCCCTGCTCGGCCTGAAATACCTCATAAACCTCAGGGCCCAAAAATAGAATTCTCCACAACTCCAGGCAACAGAAACACTAAACAGAACCTKAACTGTGATTTCAGAGATTCTTGCCTGAATCCTACTTTCTCTTTTTGGAATMGCTGTGAATATGTATTCCCAGTGTGGGATTCTTGTGATTTGTATGTATGCACTGTTGGGGCTTCTGTAAATCAGGCCCATGTTTCATTAGGCAAAATGAGTTTATTTAACAAAATCGAAGGGAAAAAAAAAAATATAAATTAAGAGTCAGCACTAATTTCAGTAGCTTCTTTCCAAAACCTGAGAAAACAGCTCTTGAAATCCTTTTTTTATTTATTTATTTTTAAATTCAAAACAAAGCTAAAACATTGTTTTTTAGCCCTTACAACCCCCCTGCGACGATCCTCCCCACGCCCTTGCGGTAACGCCGCCTGTTCACCTGTGTTCCTTTCCTCCCCCAGAGGCTGAGCCGCAGCTGGGCACGCTCACCCTCACAAAYGTTACCCCCGACAGCTTCAACCTGTCCTGGACGGCCCTGGACGGGCCCTTTGCCTCGTTCCTTATCACCATCCGCGATTCCCTGGCGGAGCACGAGCCTCGCCAGCTCACGGTGTCCGGGGACGCCCGCAGYGCCCACATCTCGGGGCTGGCTGACCACACCACCTATGACATTCACATTCAGGGCACCACCAGGGAGGGTGGCACCACACAGCCCCTCACTGCTTTTGTCACCACAGGTACCCGCTGAGAGCTTTGGAGGGGCTTTTTTTTGGCTCAGGGAAATGTAAATCTCAACAAAGGGTCACTCCCCAGTATGGATTATCTCGCCAGAAGCGATGGGTTTGTTAGGAAATGTGGTGCAATGAAGGGGCAGAACAGCGATGTTGACCTTAAAGAAATTCCTGGGAGCAGGATTGGCTTAAACGGAGTTAAAAATTCAGGTTGGATGGGGCTCTGAGCAATCTGGGATAGTGGAAGWTGTCCYCRTGGAACTGGATGAACTTTTGGGTTCTTTCCAAYCCAAACCATTYCATGATTTCAYGACACTGRATGAGCTTTTWGGTCCCTTGCAATCTAACCCAATTCCATGATTTCATGACACTGGATGAGCTTTTAGGTCTCTTCCAACCCCAAACCATTCTGTGATTCTGTGATTAAGACCCCTCTGGAGCCTTTCTCCCATGTCTAATAAYCTCTTTTAACTCCTGAACTTTGAGGGAGTTGTTTCCCTGATGTTCAGCAGTGGCATCAGGAGGACCAGGCAGGCCTGGCTTGTGGAGCACCTCCTGTGCCAGGATTTTCCCTCTCAAAGACCAGCCCAAAATGTGAATATTGRGGATTGATTGATTAGAGGTAAACAAGGTGCAAAAATATATCTAAAATGAGTAAATTTGAGTTGATTCTCTGGCACCCAAATTTGTAAATATTAATATATGAGTTTCCAAATTGTAAAACTTTAGGAGGGAATTTTTATGCCAAATTCGAACAAAATCAGTTTTGGCTGCTGAGAAATGTTAAAACCAAACCCGAAGTCCTTTTCAGGAGAAGGTTCTGCCTTTAACTAATTGAAGAGAGGGGAATTTGAATGGGTGCAAGATTGGATGAATCAGCTCCTGAGCCAATAGACCAAGGCTGAACAAATAATATATAGAATAGAAGCAATTTTGGGATGCAGGATGGAGACCAGGGGTTAGCAGAGCCACCTGATCTTTCCATTTTGCCAAATTTTGAGTGAGCAAAATACACTGAGACTCTTGTGAAACTTTGGCCTTTTTTTTTTTGCTGAGACTTAGTGGATAAATTTTGAAGAGTTTTCCCMATCTTTGAACTTTGATAAATGTCACCCTGATGTGGAAAAAGAAGTAAGGACCCCTCAGAGGAATTTCTTTAAGTTGTCAGCAGCTGATTGGCTCTGGCTGTGACCTGAGTGATTCATGCCCTGTTCTGGCATCTCTGACCCCTCCAGCACCGAGAATTAAAGTTGGAGATRTTCACGTGAAATAGGTAAAGAAGTAAAATACAGGAGTTGTGAATGCTCAAGTTGAGGCTTTGGCCCTAAAGCACTGATGGAGGAGAGAGATGAAGAGAAATGAAAACTTCATGGGCAGCATTTCTAAAGCAGTTTGGTTATAAGCTTCTCACAGGGCATGGGGAGCAGGAGAAGTGTCCTTTCACAGGGAGTCTGGGAGGAGCTTAAATGAAGTTTGTGAGAGGAGGTGCTGAGATAGCCCTGAGGAAAACTAAAAATTGAGCACTGGAGGCTCCATTGAAAATCCTCATCTGTGGTCCTGGCTATTAAATCCACGCTTGGGGGATAAAATGTGATTTTTTTTTTTTTTTTTTT